AAGGAGGTATCAGATTTAACCTGTCTCCCATTTACAATAACTTGTTGACCACCAAGGGACATAGACATGCTGATCAGGCTAACTGAAAGTAGCTATTCAGCCCGAGCCCAAACAATAGGCCTAATCAAGACCCAACGATAGGGAATTTAGAAATCAATGGGCCTCTTCACCATAGGCGCGTGACTAACCATCCGCACCCAGTCTTCAAATAGGCCACGCTCAGCTTTTTAGCGCAGAGCAATTTCCCGGAGTCGTCACGGAGACTTCAGGGTTGTCTACCGCTGACGAAGCTTCTGTGAGAGAAGCGAAACGTCCTTTTTTGTTTTTTACCCACAGGTACAGATGACTGACAGAACCCTTTCTACTACTTGAATTCATTGAAATTATTGTATTTGTCTTAGAAGAGTGGGGGATTATCATACCCAAATATAATTGATATTATTTTAGTATTTCTATCGAAATGTCTAATCTTGCAAAAGATTGGGGTGAAACAAATGGCTTAGATTGGGTTCTTCTTGTGCAAGAGCTGACCTCACTTTTCAAACCAATGGAAGTGCTTGCGCAAACGGTTAGACACCAGGGAAGTGGGAAGTGATCCGGATTTGCAATGAAACTTAGCTTTTCGCCACACATATCGAACAAAATATCAAGTTACGCATTCTGATGGAAGCCAGCTCGGAACATTTACTCCCGCCCGAACAATTAAGGCGTAGAAAAAAAAGTAGTGTGTTTCCGGTAACCCGACCGACCGAGAATTTCTACGTCGAAAAAAAACTTTATGGTCGGCATTTTTTTCAAACAACCCTCTACATTTTTGTGTAGAGGGTTTAAATCGGTGCAAACTCTCACGATATTCACGTTGAGCGCGTGCGTCGTTTGCCCTGTCGTCTGTCAACAACATTGAAACATGGCGGCGGCCGCGATCTCCTACGACAATTTAAACCGCGTTTTGTGTCGCATGCTCGCACTGTAATGTTAAGAAAGTAGCATCCATTGATGTATCGAAAAAATTCAGCGAACTATTTGATGAACACCACGGGCCGAGTAAAAACCGAGGGCGGAGGAGGACGGCGGCGGCGGCGCGCCCCGGCCCCCCGAGTCCGGAGCGGGGAGAAAACTAAATAGCGCCCCGGCCCCGAGTCCGGAGCGGGGAGAAAACTAAATAGGTGGCAGTGGCGCCGGCCACGGAGCAGCGGGTTCTATGTCTTCTTGTTTTATGTTTATTTTGTTTAAATTTTTGATGGAAAAAAAAAAAAAAAACTGTCCGACCTACCGACCCTGTGCTGAAATTTCATGTTACTGGAAACACATCTTTTTTGTTTGGCCAAATCAATTCTATCTCAAACAACGAGTCAGTTATCGCTGCATTGGTTAATAGTGAACACAGACACTTTCCAGATATAAGAGGTTCTTTACACTTGTGCTCCCCAGGGGCATGCAAAGGGTTGGGCCGATGAGGTTGGGCTCTCGAGTATCTGCAGCCACCCACAACGATTGTGGAAGGGGCATCTGCCAGTGATTGATGGGCACAACGTTTGAAAATTATCCATTCAAAACACTGTACCCAATAATGTTCTGAAGAATAAACTGTTGGACTTGTATGAAAGAAGTTGCAAGTTATCAAGTAATATTTACTTTCCTATTCTATTCAAATGGCAGTTGTGAAAAATCTTATACAACCATTCAGTCCTGAATTTGTACTGAAAATGTAAGAAACTTTTTAACGTCTACGTTGTAGACATAGATATTGTTGTCTGTTGTCTGTTTAAGAGGGAGGAAATTTCATCTGTGCTGTATGTTATACATACATACATGTATGTTATACATACAGCACATTTGACAATAAAGTTGTACTTGATACTTGACTTAATACTTGATATTGCAGTGATACAAAGGCCCTGAATAATATGAAAATCAAAGTGGGAGTTTATAGTGCATATGCATTTCATAACTCAGGAGGGTCCTTACCTGGAGGCATAGGTGTTTTCCTTTGAATTAAAACGACAGCCACTTTTGTATTCCTGCTCTGAAGACTGGATCTAAAATATAAGAGTTGAGATCAATTCCAAGGTCCTGATTTCTTTAAAATAGATAGATAGATAGATAGATAGATAGATAGATAGATAGATAGATAGATAGATAGATAGATAGATAGATAGATAGATAGATAGATAGATAGATAGATAGATAGATAGATAGATAGATAGATAGATAGATAGATAGATAGATAGATAGATAGATAGATAGATAGATAGAAAGATAGATAGATAAAGTACAAAACACATTGCATGGCATTCGAGATTAGATCCAGTGTGGCGCCACAGATGGTCACAGAAATACTATCCTCTCTATCTGGTACTCTGTTTTAGTCATTTCAAGTGTTTCTCTTCGCTCATAACCGGACAATTCATTCATGCTTCATGTCTGCATAATTTGCTAAATTCTCACTGTTCGGTATTACTGGACAACGATTAAGAAAAGCCTGTGTCATTTTGCACACTCTGGTATCAGTATTACTGCACTACTGAGTATGCTTTATTGCTTAAGGACTCTGTGTACTTCTGTGTTTCTGGCTTAAATGTTTATTTTGTAACAGGGGCTTGTTACTGTAGTACTCGAGTGGTTCCTACTACCGGAGACAAACTACTGTGCCATTTTAACATACTTGGCCAATAAAGATGATGCAGACTCGAACAACAGACTACAGTGCAGTACCGTATTTTCACGACTATAAGGCGCCATTAAAAGTCTGAAATTTTCTCCAAAATGGACAGTACGCCTTATAATGCGGTGCGTGTTATGTATGCGCCGAGTTCCAAAACCGGACTGAGAGCACCTCTGGCCGACACGCTGTTTATAGAGAGAAAAGGTGGACGTGAGTGACGACAGGCATGCGGAAGTCGGCCAATGAGTGAAGGGTGGGCGTGTAAGAGGACGCTAAAGCCACACCCCTAGCAGGTACCAGTCGCGTGAGTACATTGTAAAATGGCTAAATAAAGTACAACCGAACTCAGTTTTGCTTCCGTTGCCTTTTTAAAAACGTGTTTTTAGCGTGTGTCCGTATGTCTTAGCTGCTACCGTATGCTTTAAGCTAACATACCTGGTATGTTTTAGCGTGAATGCATGCTCCCGAATGCTTCAAGCTAACGTGTTTTTAGCGTGCGTGCATGCATGCCGTATGTTTAAGCTGGCGTATGTTTTACCATGCCTGGCTGCGCCCAATAATACAGTGCGTTTTGTGTATGTGTCAAATACAGAAATAGTACCCGTTACTGAGACTGCGCCCAACAATACGGTGCACCGAATGGTCATGAAAATACGGTAGCTTGTAAT